CTGGGGGGGGGGGGAGGGGGGGATGGTGGAGGGAGGGAAGCAGGGGCTGCCAGGCTGGGGGTATAGTTAGCCCCCATGACCCAGCTGGGGCCCAGGGTGCTGCAAGTTTCCACACAGCAGTGCCTTGCATGCAGTCGATCACAGGCCTGATGCTGTGAACTTCCTTACAACAGTGCCCTCTGGGGGTCCAATCAGGAACCTCAATGCTGTGAGCTTCCCCCAAATAATGCTTTGCCAGGATCCTATCAGAGGCCTTGATACTATGAACTTCCCCACTGCAGTATCATGTCTGCATCTGATCAGGGCCCCTAGGCGCGGAGCTTCCCCACAACAGTGCCCTGCCTCCCTAGCTGCAATGCCCCTGCCCTGCCCCAGCTGCTCCCTCCTCATTGGTGGCTCACCCATGTTGTAGGCTTCCATGGGGTTCCCTGATTGGTCCATCTCTTCTAGGCGTTGCTCTGGAATTGGCTCCATCTCCAAAAATGCCTTCTCCTCCTGCGGGTCCTCGGCATCCCAGAGGCCCTGGAAGCCAGGGCCTTCAAGGGTGCACGAGGAGGACAGGGTGCCTTCAGCCCAGCAAGGGGTGCCCTCAGCAGGGTGGAGGGCTAAGGCGGGGGTGAGCTGGAGGTCCCCCGGGGCCTCCTCAAGAGCTGTCTCTGCCAGGGACAGAGCAGGGTTAGCACCCTGGTGCTGCAAGCTTCCCCCTAACAGTGCCCTGCCTGGGACCCCAGCACTGCATGCTTTTCCCCAGCAATGCCCTGGCAGTTTCAAGCTTGGTCCCCGCCCCCCAGTGCTGTGAGCTTCCTCCAACAGTGCCACCCCTGGGAACCCAGTGCTATGAGCTTCCCCCAGTAGTGCCCTGTTCAGGGCTAGAGCCCCTGAGTCCCTACCTGAACCAGCTGTAGCCTCTGTGACCTCGGTGGCTCCAGGATCCACAGTAGCCTTTGTGGTGGGCACTAGCTGAGGCTGGGGGGGGGGGCTGTTACCCGGCTCCAGGGGTTCGGGGTCATTGGTGTAACGCAGGGGGGCATCCCAGGACGAGAAGGGGTCCATCCCCAGGCCCTGCCCACGCTCCCCCTCAGGTGACTGGCACAGACTGGGGATGTTCTCTAGGCTGTCACCCAGGGCTGGGGCTGGGGGCTCAGGCCGGCGGGTGCGGGCATCACGGGGGGGGCTGGCATCATGCCCAGGGGTGAAGGCAATGTAGGAAAAGGTCAGCTCCCGTGGCGTGGCCCAGCCCAGCGAGCCTGTATCCTCGTCCTCTGAGAACTCCCGTGCCGTCTGCAGCTCAGGGAAGTCTGACTCCGTGCCACCTGTGGAATGGGGGAAGATCATGGGGTGCCCGGGCATCAGGGGCCAGTGCCACTGTCTGGAACTGGGGCACACTCCCAAGGAGGGACCCTCCCCACCAAGGCACCTCCCTAACCCCACGAGCCTGCAAGCAGGGCACCCCTCACCCAGGGCCCTCCAAGCAGGGCACCCCCTGCTCTAGTGACACCCCTCAGCAAGGGCCCCCCCAACCAGGAATCCCCAAATGGGGACCCCCTGCCCAGGGCATCCCTCGAAGCAGGGCCCTCCAAGCAGGGCCGCCCCTCCTCCAGCCCCCCCCCCCTCTGCTAGTACAGCACCCAGGGATCCTTCCCTCCCACCCCAGTGATCCCCGCTTCACACAAGACACCCCCCCCACCCCACAAGCAGGACCTCACCATCAGTGGAGTCAGGGGTGGTGGAGGCAGTGGACGGTGACTCTTCTGCGAGAGATGGGGGTGGAGGGTCAGTGCCTTGCTGCCCCCTCTGCAACCAGCACCAATGACAGAGGACAGCACCCCACCCTGAGCCCACCCCCCTACGTGCCTCTGCTTCCCCTCCTCCAGCCCCTCAGGTTGGGGCAGGGGGCCTAATCAGGGCCGGATCAGGGCACACAGGCTGGTGCAGGCCCACCCTGGGCAGATGCCACCCCCCAGGCCTGCTATCAGGGGAGCCAGGACCTGGGCAGCGGAGACCTAGCTGGGACACATCCCCTCCCCCAATGGTGCCCGGTTCCGGGAAACAACACCGCCTGGGCACCAGAGCAGAGGCCTTAATGGAGGTGCTGGGCTGGTGCCAGGGCCCCATGGACCTGGTCTTGCTGCCCCCGCCCCCAAATGAGCCATGGGGGAAGCGGCAATGGGCAATGGGGGCAGGGGGATTATGGGCTGTGGGGCAGGGACAGCCCCCCCTTGCTATTACCCCCTGAAGGGGGAGGGGGGGCTGGCCCCAGGGCTGGCAGAGCAGGACCCCAGGCAGCCTCAGCCCTGGGCCCAGGAGTGTGGGAGCCCCTGGGAGGGGTCTGGGGGGGTCCAGCTGGTGGGGGGTTGCATGAGTTTGCCAGGTCTCAGCCGCATTTCTCCCCCGGGTCAGGGCTGGCTCGGACGGGGGGGTGGGGGGCATGCCCAGCGTCTGAGGCCGATCCCCGCCCCCCCCCATCTCCACTCTCAAGGCGTTGCCACTTGGCCCAGGAGTGCCCAGTCTGGCCCCAGTTCTCGCTCCCATCCCCCTGGGCCCCGATCCTTGCCCTCCCCCGGGCTCCGATCCTTTTCCTTCCCTGGGGTCCAGATCCTTGTCTTCCCGGACCCCGATCCTTTCCCTCCCCAGGCCCCGATCCCCCCACCAGGCACCTACTGCAGTGCGCGAAGCCCAGGACCTGACCCATGGCCCCGGCCCGGCAGCGCCCGGCATGGGGCTCGGCCCGCGCTGCCCCCCGGCGCTCATGGCCCCGGCACCATGCTGCCCCGCGGCCCCGATCC